CATCCATGTAATCTCGCGGACGGCCTTGGGCAACATCCCCAACAACTGGAAGAACTGCTTCCTGCGGCTTGAGCTCAGCAGAGGTGGGGCGTCTTGTGGGAGATTCGTAGCAATGTTGACGTCCCGATATCCATAGACTCCATAGTATCCTATTGAGCCACGATCTTGCACCTACAAGCGGACGATCGGCACATTAGTGATGAAACCGATGACGTAGAGTAAACGAGATGGAAAACTTCTATTATGCTGCCATCCGATGTATGTGGTAATATACACAGAGAAGTACTTAGCCGCCCATCGTAACTTTCATAACTAAGAAAAGGACGAAGCGTTTAGAGATTAGCTGTAATGAGGAAAGTGTCGTGAAATCGTGACATTTTATGTCTCATCGCGGTGGTGAGCTAGCCATGACCTGAAGCTGAATACAAAGCGCATATGAAGCGAGCGTTAGGGGTATAAAGCAGAACGTAAAAGTACCCCCCATCCAATAGTGTCCTCAGTCAACAACATCGAGAATGCGGAATGAAAGCGAAAAGAATTTTGTCCATTCGGAGAATGGGTATGATGAAATCGAGTAAAGTAAAACCCGTTGGACGTCCACAGGAAGGATATGCGTTCATCAAGTTTGGATGGTGAGGTTCTGCCTGGAAGCGGCATCTTCAGGCAAGAAGCCAAACACCAGCCGGAAGAGATCTCTTAGCCACATGAACTGCTCGCTTCTGCACATCCACTGGACGGCTCTAGCCACTTCTGCGGCAGTAACGCGTCTCGAAGGAAAGTTGGTCCTGAGTGTCGAATCTGCCAGTACGAGCTTCCGATAATCCTCCAGCAGCTTCATCTGCCAAGGTGAAGTGCCGAAGGAGTTCGATGGAAGAGCTTTGACGAAGCCCGGTAAGGTTTGGTGTGTATTCCGCGCGTATCCATAGTTCATTGCGGCTTTGACGATAAGAGTCTTCAGTCGCGAGAGATGCGGGTCTTCACGACCGGCAGTCGCCGTAGACGAGGTTCGTTGCGAGGCATCAGAATAGGTGGACAGAGTTGATGCGGAGGAAGACCATCGGTTATGTGTCCGAGTAGTACCTGTTTCCGGACCAAGTACTAGGATGTTCGGAACGTTGGGTTCTTCGGGTGACATCTCTGCGAGATCGTCAAAGATAGTCGTAGGCGTTTCCGGAGGCTGCGACTTGGCGCTGCGGTAACTATCATCTACCGAGGATGAGCGATCAGAGCGCGCTATGCTGCTGAAGGAAGCCGCTGAAGAGAACGAAGTTTGACTCGGCCGCGGTGTGCCTCTCTCGGGCCGGACCTGAGTCCATCCTTCACGGAATAGATCGCAAAGCTCCCAACAGGCTTGAACGGCAGAGCCAAGGAGTTCTTCATCAGCAGGTTTGCCGTCCCGATTATTTTGCCGCAGACTAAAGAGCATCTCTGCGAGCGACCAGCAGGCACGAAGGAGAGCGTCCGTCTCATCAGGCAAGGACGTCCTCTGCTTCATCAATCTATGGCACAAGGTCAGATAGAAGTCTAGCGTCCTTTCCCGAAAAGGTTCCGGCAAGGTTCTATCATGTGTGTTGTACAGATGGTTGTTGAGCTCGAAGCTCACCCGCAAAACTGAGTCAGACGCCTCATCTCCTCGTTGTCGAGCTTCAAAAAGAGCTTGGCAAAAGTCCCGGCAGAGCTCCAGCGTAGGTCGTACTTGGGAAGCGTGGTCTTCGTCACGGCTTTCATAAAGCTTCTGGCAAAGCTTCCAGCAGCTTCTCCAAGCTTGCTCCTGGACTTCGCCTGCTCCATGATAATTGAACATCCTCTCCCGATGCACAGAGCTGAGGCCGGCTAAAGTGTTACAAAGGGTCCAACATTCGCTCAAGGCGGTCTTAAGAGCTTTGACATCTTCTTCCGCATGGCTTAGATTCTGCATTGCTTGGTCCATGGTCTCGATGGTTGCATCGTCTTCGGGCTCCGTAGTCGGAGAATCAGGCTTTGACTCAGGGTCCTCGGTTTCAGCGATATCTGGAAATCATGGTCAGGTGAGTACAGATGACAAGAGCAAGGCCTGATTACCTTCTAAGCTTTTGCTAAGTCTGCTGCGTCGCTTCCACTCTTCCTCAGCTTCCTGCCGCGTTTGGGCTCGCGGAGTGCCTCGATCCATCGGCTTACCAGATAAGGGCACTGCGGTGTTGATAGGTGAGGTGTATTGTGCAGACATTCGCTGTAGACGCGTTAGCATGACTTTTCGATCTTTGCAGACACCGAACACAAACTTTGTCATCAGGCATGGGTATCGATTCGGGAGTTGTAGGAGAAACCACCGGATTCTCAGACTTCTCTGTCGAAGAAGGTGGTGAGACCTTTCTTAGTGGGGGGATTCTCTTCGCGTCCTGTAGCACTTAGCAGGCGCCACGTGAGCTGTGCCGCAACATGCTCACAAATTCCTGGAAGCCCGATGGGGCGTGAATGACGGACTGCGGCGCGTCATCGGAATTTGATCGTGGCCGCGGCGACATCGATGTATCTATCTTAGCGAGCTGAAGTATCTTGACGCCTCAGTATATGCTCTCGTAGTAAACAGTGTGTTCACGACCCGAATCGTACGCACCATATCCTGACTTGTTTGGCTTTTTGGACTGGACATTTCGGTGTCGCCAGGTGACCTCAGTTCTATTCCGTCTTGCTCCTGAACACCTTCGCCTTCCTGTGCTTCTTCTTCGATCATTGTGCCATTCGAATCAACGGGAGAGGGATCTACGTGTTGCGGATAAGGACTAGGAGGCGGATGAAGCGTGTCTGACGCGTTTGCGCCCGATGACCTTTGGTCGATGCTATCAGCGTCGCCTCTACCAGGAGCCAGCTAGGGTCCTCTCACCTTTTTGACGAGAAAGCCATTTGAAACGGGGCCGGCGAGCTAGGTGAGTCCGTGTATGGCGAGAAAGCTGACTTGAGCCCTGGTGAAGGCATGAGTTGCGTCGCCGTTGCCATGCTCTCGCCGGTGCGGCTTGGGTATGATGGGGTCGCCGTGCCGCTATTTGGATGTAGAGAAGCGATGCCTCAGGTCTGCTAGGCCGTGCGCTGGCCGTTGTAGTCTGCCTCCGTTTGATGAGCCTCCGAGCCGGGTCGCATGAACCAGTGCCACACGCGTAGGATGAGGAGGATGACCGGGTGCTATAGGCGTTCGTGCTCTTGCAGCATTGGAGAGAGGACCACCGGGTTCCACAAGATGTAAGAACGGAAGGGACAGAAGCCTCTGAGACACTTACTTATGCGACTCGGCGTTGCTGAGCTGAATGTTCCGCTGCTTACTCTGAGCGACCAAGGTCTGCTCCGAAAGGTGCCAGGATAGAGGGTCGCCCGGTCACTCTTCTCCTCACCACTTGCGACGGATTGTAGCAGCCATCGTCTCCATATGATAGAAGACAGTGGTGAAATAAGATAGCGTTCATGTTTGACCATGACTCGGTCGAGGGGTGTTGAGTGCGTTAAGGCTAACAGGGGTGCGCAGGCCGGTACGTTTGATCAGTCGAGGCGTTCGTCCGTCTCGTCTTGGCGATTCTGGCTAATGGGAGCACTTCAACTAAGCGCCGTGGAGCAATTAAGCTATTCCTTCGTCTGATCAACTTCCCTTTCCTGCCCATCTCCCTTCCGGCTCGGATCAAGCCAGAGCAGGGGGAGCCCAACCCGCTGGAGCTGGACAACCACACTTGGGAAGTTCAACCTTGGAGGCGTTTCTCCTCCTCCGTCCTAGGGATTGGGGAAGTGCAGTTGGACGTTGAAAGCCAATCTCCGCCGGGTGCCATGACCTCTCGTGGACGGAACGAACATCAAGCTGGGACCCAGATCCTTCGCCCCCAAGGCAGCCGTTTCAACTGCACCGTGCATGGCTGGTCCGCACTAAGAGCTGCATACGGTCACATTTCCTGTGGCCGGCATGCTCACCCGCTGAAAAGGATCGTTTATTGTCATCAAACTTGTTAAGAGAGGCGCCAGAGATGCCGACCACGCCGCAGGGTTGCATCCACGCCTGGTTGTTACAGCACGTGGCGCGCTGTGAGCCATTGTCTTATTCCACACTTGTTTGATAGTCGTACGACCATCGTTAAACGACTTCCGCGCGGTCTGCGTCTAGCGCGTGCCGCAACTGGAGTCCGAATTCACCACCCCGCGTACTGTCGCCGGTGAGTGCCATCAGAGGCTGCCCAGCCTAGACACACGGCACGACAGTTTGTCTTGGACAGCCAAAATGTCGAATGGCGGCAACAGATTGCTGACTGAAGGCTCATGCCTGTTGGAAGCGGCTCGAGATCATCGTGAGGTGCGGATCTAGGTATTGGGGCACTGTAGGACGAGCCTGTTCTTACATGTGGTCTTGAACGACGGCCGCTGGTATTCGTTGAGTGCTCTCCCTTACTTCTTGTGACTGAACCTGGATGCGAGGTAGTCTGGTCTTCCAACAATACCGGTCCTCAATTCCTGCAACGTTGTGAGGCAATCCTCACCATGCGATCCATACCCGAGCACCAGGAGCAGGGATACTGCGGGTAAGCCGCATTGACACTTTTAGCTGCTGCTCGAGCTCCATCAGGGCTAGTGCTGGCTGTAGGGTTGAATCTAGTACAACGGTCTACCAACACAAAGCTTCGGATCAAATCTGCAGTTTCGTCTAACTTGCAGCTATGCAGGTTGTGTCTTGCAGCTGCAACCGCCATCTGGCGGCTACGTTGTCCCAGAGATTGGATGCCTCAATGGGCTCTTCCGATCAGAGCCTGGCAGCTTTCTTCGTCGCCTCCAATGGCTGCTTAGGATGAAATCCACCAACATCTACCGAAAGTTTATTAAACGATCGTCGGTCCTTTCCCTCTCCTGTCTCGAGGTAGGCAGGCGAGCATGGAGCCCTATGAACTGTAAGAGTCTAGAGCCACTGCACATAGTACTTCGGAAAATCACGTTCTATTGAGAGTCCACGAGTCCTCTCGTAAGAGACTTGATATTGCAGCGCCTTGTTCTCACTGATTTTATTGGCGCTCCGAGTCAAATATGCTACACGGGTTCTGTAATGTGGCGATGCAAGCCTAAAGCATAGTCAATTCATTAAATTGGTATTGCTATCAAAGACACCTCTGGGCTCTTCACACTTCATTAGTGTGACCCGTACGAAACCTGCTACAGTCTCGTAACAGTTGGCCATAGTTGCCAACTCCGACCGAAGAGCTGTTGACTCCATTGACCGTCCCGACGTTGTGACAGTTGGGTGGAGGTTGCTCTTTGACGGCTCTGATTGTATGTAAAAACCGTATCGGATAAGACTCCTTCGGCAGGTCTTTTCATCAGCGCCAGCCCATCACACTGGCAAAACGCGCCGGTTCTGCAAGTCGAGTTATCCAACAGCACGCACAGTTCATCTATGGCTTCACGCCAGGTAAGACACGGTTATATAGTTTGCAACTGGCTCGTGATGGATATGCATAATACAATGCAAGAGCTTAAGCCAAACCCAGATATAAATGTAGTATGAGAACTGACGAACTTACACGGTTTCGCTTGGAGGTGCCGCAACTGTTCTCTGTACATATATTCGACTCACAAGCGAGACACAATTAGTAGCCGATGCCCCGCGATGCCGCGAGGTGAGGTGTGGAAACGGCTGAACTTCGGTCCTGAAGCCAAAAAAAGTTCCCGACAGCTTCATCAAAGATGTCTTGAACGTCAGGGAGAGCGCAACACGACGCAAGAACTGGCACCCCTTCGAAACATACTGCAATGCCTTCGATACCTCTAAAGACGGGCCCTTACACCATCCTACCCCTCCGTGTGCCCGCTATCGCCGCCTACCCCCATGAGACATCCCACTATCTCTACGTTCGACAGCATGCGCCGCGGATGGAGGACGCAGACACACCACGCTCGCTTTTTGTGGCAAACCTCCCTATAGATGCGACGGAGGGGTCTCTACGGAAGCTGTTTGGAGAACAACTCGGCGGGGCTAAAGTTGAAAGTGTGGAGTTCGATGGGCTGCGATCGAAGAAAGGCGGGAGCATTCCGTTGCTAGACAACGTAGCAAGTGGGACAGTAGTGGTTTTGAAGCCGGGCAGAAAAAGGAAGCGCAATGCGGAGGATGTGCCCCAGGAGTTGGAGCTGCCCGGTATATGGGATCAGGAGGTACTCAAAAGTGGAAGCAGTGCTGTGGTCATATTTGTCGACAGGGCGAGCGCGGAGTCGGCGCTGAAACATTGCAAAAAAGCGGCGAAGACCCAGAAGGGAGTTCAGTGGATATCTGAGGCCGGACTAGGCGAGAGGCGTAAGGCCGTCCCTTGGTAGCCAACACCAACAGCTGTAGACTGACATCGACTCAGGATATCTCACTCATCACACCCTCCGCTATCCCCCTAAACCGACCTTGCAGAGCCGTGTCAACAACTACATGGCCGCATACCACGCCCTGGAAACCGCTCGCTCCCGCGCACAAGCAAAGCAACGCAACTTACCCGACGAAGAAGGCTTTGTTACGGTGACCCGCGGTGGACGAGTTGGGCCGGCTCGCCTAGAAGAGACGCAAGCGGTTGCTGAGAAGCTGAAAGAGAGGCAGAAGAATGCGGTCAAAGATGATTTCTACAGGTTCCAGACGAGAGAAAAACGGAAAGAGCGGGAGGCGGAGTTGAGGAAAGGATTTGAAAAAGATAGAAGAAGGGTGGAGGAGATGAGAAGGCGTAGGGGCGCTGTCCGGGTAAGTTATCTTGCCATTGTGCCCTGGAAACCTCTTCGGCCTGACACTAACCTTTGGTGATAGCCCGAGTGATGTGCTTACTAAGACCAATCGAAAAAGCGCATTCCTCTAGTGCGGATCGGATACCGTTTGCAAAGGCTTTGAGCAAGCGTGGCATTCTCGTGCGATCCTCGACAAGAGTTTCAAGCGCTAGCTTCATCGCTGGTGATCTCTACTGCGGACGGTGAAGTCCGTATGATCGAGCGAGTGGCATTCATGGCTGGCCTAAGATGCTTCCACTAGGCGCCATACCTCCTCCCCCATTTCTATGGATTCTTTACCCACTCGTTGCACCACACCAAGCCAATCTCCACGCCCTCAACTACTCGGTGGTTCCTTAGTCCGTACCGGGTGCACGGCATCTGATTGAATTAGGAACTGATCGCTTACTGTACCTTCCATGAGCGCAGGTGTCCAGTGAAGTCTTATTCGTTACACCATTGTCGAATGTATGACATATATCCAACGACGAACTAGCATGGTCCCGCGCCGATTCTGTATTCTTGACGTTGTTTCTTGGCCGAGTATCATCCTGGGGACCCGGTAGCCACGTTCGCACGGAAGGCGAAGTCTGCATCTGGCTCTAGACCGGGCGTTGGTTGCGGATCTACGAGGGCTTGACGCTTGGAGATGGCGGTGATATTATCATCTATGTGTAGCTAGGCGAAGAAGCGGCCGTGGTTTTAAGGTCAGTGAGTGAAGCTGGCTTGGCTGATGAGCTTGTTGCTGATGCCGCGCAAGCTTTCCAGCTGGTTAACGGTCAGTTACGATAACATGCCAGTTTATATTCGCGATTTTATATTCGTGATCGAACTTCTGTGACACGAGGGCCTGGAAGCCTTTCACGATGGTTGTTTTCTAATAGAGAACGACAATCACGGTTTGTTAGCTATACATTCTGATGGTTACTAAACCTCACAAAGCAGCAACACAGAACGCCGAACGCCAGTAACGCCACGAGCGCATGAATGCACGAGAGACGCCAGACAACAAAAGCCCCTTCAATCCTCCCCGATAAAAAAAAATGGATCGACTGGCCAAGGACACGCGCGAGCGTTCAGTCAATGTAAGTCTCGCTCATCCACGCGTCCCACTTCGGCAGCGGCTCGCCAGAATCATACATGCTCTGAACTCCGCCTTGCGGAGGTAGTGAGTCAGTACGTGAAGATCCTCCCGGAAAGCTCCCTCCGTCACGCCCGTGAAATGCTCTTGCACAGCCCACAGCAGCGCGTTACGGAACAGCTGCGCCTCCTCTCACCTGGTACCCAGGAACTCCGCGTCTGGGTACTGCGCGCGGCGGGCGCCACGCAGCACCACGCAGCACCACGCCCTGGTAGAGCGTGATGTCGCTGATGGCGGTGAAAAGCTTCTCGAGGTCAATATGGGCGTCTCGGAGGTTCCAGTACCGCTTGAACCTGGCGGCGGCTGCGTCGAGGCGGAGATGCGCATCTGCCATGAGCGCGGCGATGGCGGCGTCATCATGGGCTCAGACGACTGCGGCTGCGGCTCCGTAGGTAAGCCATCGGCCTCGGTGATTATTTTGCCGTCCTCGGTGGTGGAGAAGAGGACGTGGCGGCACATCGAACAGGAGTTGCCGCGCTTGACGCCGCCCGATTTGCTGCTGCGGGTTTGGAGCCAAGAGATCATGCACACCTTGCCAAAGACATGGCCGCACGCGGTTTGGACGGCTGGGTGGGAGGCGTCGAATGGCATGATGCAGATCGCGCAGGTGGAGTCGGCGTCGATAGCGCCTTGCGACTTTGGCGAAGATGGGAAGGAGGCGAGGAGGCTGTTTAGAGAATCGGATTCTGACTCGGTGGTGATGGGTGGATCTCCCCCGGTTTTTCAATTTCGAACCACGCAGGACTTCACGACCGCGAAAATGAAAAGAGAAAGGTGATGAGAAGCGAGCATATCACTGGATCGAATCTTGATGCCGCATAAGTTTTGTACCCGCTTTCGACTCGTATAGAATACTTACCTCCCGTCACGAAGACTTTCTTATAGCCGGCTGCGGGTCACCCTCAGATTTAAAACCACGACTATGGAAAGACGCAGTGATGAAGGAGCAGGACAAGAGGCAATCGTAGCTTGTTTGTGAGATGTTCTTATATGACCTCGGACTCATATGTAGCTGCATCTGGTTCGTGAAGCATCGTCCACGCTGCCATCTACAGGTCGTAAACTGTGTCGCACGTTGCGTCGCACATATCACACTCGCTACACGCAGTGTACTAGCGTGCGCACATCGCTTGGTGGCCTTCTCAAGCGAATTTTACTGATTGTGCCATGCGGACCCACAAACCTGTGACTGTGAAGGAAGGAGAATTCGGGGAAGTACTATCAGGACACATCTCAACATAGTAAACCATGGAACGATGGGGGAACGACGGTCGACGCATCACCGCACGCGTCGATCACGTGCAGTCTCGCGTCGGTATCTCAACACTCATACTAGCACTCTACTTTCACCGTTACCCAGGTTGTCGAACCGCACATTAGCCAGCGCGTCTTTTGTCTCCGATTCTCTACCGCTTTGGCCGGCCACCCCACCTCTCTCCGCCGTCATTATCCTCGCCTTCCTATTTTCCTCTAGCAATGCTTCCCTCACGCTGATCACCTTCCGCCTCAGAAACCAGCTTATCAAGCCACCACCTTTCTTGATTTCATCGTGCGTCCCGACCCAATACCGCGCATTCAATTTTCGCTGCGCCTCGAGTCCATTGTGTGCACCCAGATTTAGTTGCTGGGAGCCGGAGATAGACACGTCATGCAGCCCGTGCAAGAATGCTAGCGTAGAAAGTGGCGGCTGCGCGACAGAAACAGGCGTGAGAGCGGCAGCCGAAATGCCGTGAGGAGTGTAGATGACGCATTCGGCGGCGTCTGCGCTGCTGGAATCGGAGGAGTGGATGTGACCGGGAAGTAGGAGTTTGTGACTTGTTCTTCGTCCTGAAGTGCCGTTGGCGCTGGCTTGGCTGGCGGGAGTGTCGTTCGGAACGTTGAAGGCTATGAGTAGGGCGGAGTGATAGTAGAAAGCATCGCCTTCGGCTTGTAGACGGGAGATGCTGAGCCATTCTGGCAAAGGGGGTAAAGAGGTGCTCCGCCAGTCTGGGTTGGAGGGGGTGAAAGGCGGGATATCTTGAACGTCGCGGAAGTGAACCCAGCTCTTTATTAGAGTAGCTGCTTTCTGAGACGCCGCCAATCAGCTACATGGCCGTATGCGGAGGCGTAGGCATTGGGAGCAAGCCTACGTTGGTCGCAAAGACAGGGACATCTGTGTCGATGTCGAGCAGTGTCTCCTTATGGCAGTGATCCGTAAATTCGTGCGATATGGCGACCGCATCGATGAACGTTTTGATGTCTACATCGCTTCCAAACACGCTCTTTTCTCTCCCTGTGCCTAGTCGCAGACCCTCTGCCAGTATCTCAATCTCCCGTGCCAGCTCTTCAACCTCCGCTATGGACTTGACCTTGCTCTCCATAGCGTGCCACTGCTGTGAAAACCATTTCGCGACATCGGATTGGCCGCCGGCGAGCCATGGGTCAATGAGGATATTGTAGTATACGCGCCCTCCCCGCTTCGCTGCCGCTGCAGGACGCGGTAGTTGCAAGAGCCAAGAAGTGTCGGCGTTGAGGTGGTGGAGTAGCGGCCGTCGCTGTAATAGCTCGCGGGTCACGGCATCTCGTAGGTCTTGGTGCAGCTGTGCGGAAGGCGCATCCATGGTGAAGCGGGCGAAGGAGACATGGCTGCGAGACGCGGGGATGGACTCGGGCGTGGTGGTGAGCTGGAAGCGCGTGAAAGGCCCAAGCTCCCGGCGAGCTGCAGGCACTTCGGTACTAGTTGCAGGGACGATGACGGCTTGACGCGGGGCATTTGCTCCCACCACCGTGCAGCAAACTTGCAATGTAAATTCCCCGATAATCCATATCAAATACTTCGTCCTAGACACACTTTTATTCAAAACCAGTTTTACAACAGTGTACCTTGCACAACCCGTATTTAGCAGACCTCATGCACTGCCTCTGTTTCCTACCCTGCCTAAAGACCTCCAACTACTACTACCACTGGTCTGTCTGAGAATTGTAGACTCAAGAAGTCTTCTTTAGCTAAACCCGGGGCGAAAGGAACAATTTCACCTTCTCGTATTCTCAGGACGCTGTCCATCACGCCCATCCTGCAAAGCCGGTACCAGCAAGGCTTGAGGTGCCCCCTCGTACCACTTCTCGGAACCAGGGAGGCCCTCACATCTCCTTCTTGCCGGACCAATCCGCTGTGAGACCGTGAGTGCATTACTAGACCACCGATGTAGATGTGGCTAACTCCTTCATAGATCTCGATTGCGCTACCAAGGACGTACCAGTATGGACTACAAGCCACCACCCGGCCCGCCGCCAGGGTATAACGCTTATGCACCACCACAGGGCCCGCCTCCGTCTAAGCAAAACCAGCAACAAGAACAACCTCCTCCCTACCATGACTGGACCGTGATCCCCGACACAGCACTACTCCCGCCTCCACCCACCCTCAGCTACGACTCCTCGCCAACCGCCAATGCCTCCCTAGAAGACGGAGACAGGGCATACGCCTGGTGCAAAGCCAACCCGCTATGGGCGCCCCGGCCGCTTACCCCAGCCCAGTATGCCGCAATACAGAACGGACAGCTTAACCTGATGAGGCCGCCTGAACGAGGTTTCATTGGCGATCTGTTGCCTCAACGGACGCCTGGCCACTGGAAAGGCCGTACGCACGCCAATTGCCGGGACTCGTGTGTTCTCACAATGCTGCCTGTCTATTCTGCACTGCACGACAATTCCTTAAACAGCAGAAGGCCCAAGACGATCTATTTCGAGCTCAAAGTCCTGGGCATCGGCCGTGAGTCCCGCAGCCGCTCTTTCGAGGAAGCAGACGCAGGCATTGCCATCGGATTTGCAGCGCCGCCGTATCCGACGTGGCGTATGCCTGGCTGGCAGCGCGGTAGTTTAGCTGTTCACGGTGACGACGGTAGAAGATATGTCAACGACACGTTCGGTGGCATCGATTTCACCTCCGCGTTCCAGCCCGGCGAGACCGTGGGGATTGGTATGAGATTCGGGGTTCCGAGCAAGCCGCCGGGTTATAGCCAGCAGGGAGCGCCAACGCTGGATATTGAGGTCTTCTTCACGAGGAATGGCAAGGATGTCGGCGGATGGGACCTTCATGAACAGCTTGATGAGCGGATTGAGGGTGGCACGATTGGCTTGGAGGGAGAGTGCGACATCTTTGCTGCTGTGGGCGTGTTCGGAGGCGTGGACTTTGAGGTCTTCTTTGGGGAGAGGGATTGGCTGTACAGACCCGAGAGGTAGGGTTAGATAGATGTGCAAATTGACAGATGGCTAGTACTTGTCAACCGAACCCTCATGAAGACCCTCAAGATATCGCTCAGAGGCAATTCAGGTATCACGTGGTGGAACATACCCGTGGCCCGTGCGTTTGTAGAGGAATCGTACCGCAAAGCCAAATTCAGGTTATGAACAGACTACAACACCTACAGGACCAGACACATGTAGAAACTGTGCGGCCTATGCGTATCTGTCATATCACGCGCGCCACATGAGACTACAATTCACCTGGACCACGCTAAAAGCTCGGCTGACCAACTCTAAACTCACCTAACTAAATTAAACCTCACCTTGCTATCTTTAAAGCCTCACATCACTACTATAACTTTTATATACTCTGAAGACGTGAGTGGAACGTAATTAATTAAAGGTAGACTCCCTATACTTCTTCGCTTACAGCCAATCCTAACTACTAGCTCTAACCACTAAATACTAACTACTAACTACTAATTCTAATTATTTAAATTGTATTATAAACATGTTCGTAATATATAACATTTACTATACAATAAATATATTTAAGATATAGTTTCTTATCGATAAGAAGCTTGGATGACCAACTAAGCGGTGAGCTGACTAACGGAGCTTCAAACCGAGCTTGGCTGACCAACTGCAAGGATTCTTGCATTAGCGCTTGGTTAGCCGAGCTTTTAGCTTGGTCCAGGTGAATTGTGTCCTGGCACCACATAAGATACAATACTCTAGTTGCGAGCTAAGTCGAGCTTCCCGTATCTATCCGGTAAAACGTATATACCTTAAGGATTTAAGTATCCAAAGCCTGTTAGATACAACTTCTCTGGCTCCAAACTCTTTCAAGGTATCTAATTTAAGTTGCAGTTTATCTCTGTCAGCTTGTTTAGTATTTCGCCGATCAAAGGTCCAATCGAACATCATGAATGTCATCGGCAAATCAAAACCTCTCAATGTCGTCATCGTAAGCTGTAACTTTTATTCTACGCATTTACTTCTTCAACTCAGACAGGTTGCTATCTGCTATGAGTCCTGTACAGAACGACTATGGAGGAGTCGTTGCTTGCCACCACCAGCTCAGGCTTCTTGGTATAAGAAAGTTTCAAGTCTCGACAGTCACACATCTCGTAGTCATCCACTGGTCGCTCTTATGCCCGTAATCTTAACATCTCTTCGTACGAAATAGGCCGGTGGGTCTTTAGGCGGCCTTTTCTGCGGCATAGCCCTCAAGCAAATCGGACACAACACCACCATCCTCGAGCGCAACCCGACGCCCCTTCTCCACAACCAAGGCGCCGGCATCGTCGCAGGCGGCGACCTGCTCGCCTTCTTCGAGAAGTATGACCGCTGCCAGCGCCCCATCGCCGTCCGCTCCCGCGCACGCATGTACCTGAACAAAGAAGGGCGCGTCATCCACCGCGACGACAGGCCCCAGCATATGACCAGCTGGGACCTCGTGTACTACGTCCTGCGAGCAAACTATGATGAGGTTAAGAGCGACTACTGCGACGTTCCCGCTTCCCAACCTGACGACGGCACCACGCAGCACCTGCACGGCCACAAGGTCACCGGCTTCAAGGACCTGGGCGATGGGGTCGAGGTCCAGTTCACGACGAAGGACGGGACGACGAGCAACATGCGCGCCGACCTCCTCATCGGCGCCGACGGCCCCTCTTCCACCGTCCGCAAGATCCTCGAACCATCCGTGCAGCGCACCCTCGCCGGCTACGTCGCGCTGCGGGGCACGGTGCCTGAGGACCTGGCGTCCGACGCGGCTCGCGGGGTGTTTCAGGAACGCTTCACGTTCTTCCATGACGAGGGGATTCAGATCCTCGCGTATCTCATCCCCGGCATTAACGGTGCGCTGGAGCCGGAGAAGCGCCTCGTCAATTGGGTCTGGTATATCAACTTCCCAGAGCACTCCCTGGAGTTTGAAGAGCTGATGACGGATAAGGAGGGAGCGCGGCATAGCATTACACTGCCGCCGGGGAAGATGCAGGAGAAGGTATGGGCGCAGCTGAAAGACAGGGCGAAAGAACAGCTGCCGCCGCAGTTTGCGGAACTGGTGCAGAAGACGGAGAAGCCGTTTGTGCAGGTCATCACGGATGTGATCTGTCAGAAGAATGAGTTCTGTGACGGGAGGGTTATACTGGTTGGAGATGCGTTGGCGGGGTTTAGGCCGCATACTGCGGCTTCGACTTCGTGAGTGCTTTACTCTCACAAGTTTTCTAATGATTCCAACGGCTGACATATTTCCAGTCAAGCGGCATTCGATGCGATGACCTTGGCGGATATGCTGGAAGGTGAGATCTCGAGGGAGCAGTGGAGAGAGGAGACTATGCATTATGCACGGAAGATTCAGCAGAGCGGCGTGCAGATGGGAAATAGAAGTCAGTTTGGACACCACCCCTTGGCTGAATATGCGAAAGATCGAGGAAGTGTTGATGACAGGGCGAGAGGAGCTCCGTCCTGAGTAAACGAAGACAATAAAGCCGAGTCTTTACAGCTTGATGCACCGAAGGGATCACAAAGTATCACGTGATCACATGAGAAAGAGTGTCTGCTCACGTGCACCTAAGGTTAATCAACTGCACGGCATTGACTTTTGTCTCTGAAGTGAGGACCAACGACCACAATACAGACGTTTGGCTTACAGTCACATCGCTCTCTCTTTTGGTCTCAGCTGGGGATTGAAAGAAGATGTCGCGGTTTCTTAACCTTCCAGCGGAACTCGGCCTTCTCATTCATAAATACGCTCTGACCGGCCCGGACAACGTCACAGGAATATATTTCTCCTGCCAGACTACACGATCCTCATCTCAGTAGGTAGACAGGAGACCCGTCTACCACCACACATCCTAGGGAACCTCCGACACATCTTCATCCTACTTAAAAGCAGCGTTTACTGGCAAGACGAGTGCTTGGTCGACAATATCAACTTCGGTAAAATCTAGGCCATGAAGAAGTTGCAGAACCTCCGCGTCTGTGTTATCGACATTGCTCTTACCACTACGTGTCCCATCGAGTGCTGGACGCCAGTGCTTTCGGCGTTTATTGAGAATGTCCCCGCGGGCTGTGAGATCCTCTTTGGCACAGATACGAGGGCAGAGCGAGCCTTCGCGTATTCGTCTATGCGTACTCTTGTGAAGAAGTGCTGTGAGCAGTGCGAGACCGAGCCATTGCCTTGGGAGTTTGAAAGTCATCAGTATGAAGAGGCGATGAAGGGGGTGAAAGCGGTAAAGGGCGCCAAGTCAGGGTGCTTTGATTTGTCCGCTGATCAAGCTGAGTCCCAATCCGCGGCTCAGTCGGATGATGGTCCAAGGATTCGGTGATGGTTGCGAGAGTTGCGGAAAAATTTCCTGACACTATGCAGATCATCTCGGCCTCGTGGTCTATGTTCAAAGCAGGTATCAATATACATCAGCATACTGCATAAATGTGAGCAGAACTAGGAAGCTATGCAAGTACGACTATGAGCAGTACCCCTGACTAAGGGGATGAGGAATAAGCCTGGGCATTTGTATTCCCCCATAGTAGTCACTGTTAGGGCAAATCAACTGTCGCACCAAGATGGATGTCTCTTCTTAATTTACGAGCTACTTTTGTGCACGTGATATCGTGGTACAAACGCGTCTGACCACGGCTCTGATCGAAACCTCGCAAATGACAATAGAAAATCTGCCGCTGAACACCAGCACTCGATGCCCCCTTCATCCTCCTATACCTCCTGATGATGGTCTAGGCATCGTCAGTTTCGCAGCATGACCACCGCTACACCAGCTCCCAAGCGCCGCCGCCTCAATGACGCACTCCACAAGCCCTTCAAATCACCCTTTCGCACACCACTGAAGCCGACATCCAACCCAGCGGTCGTAAATGGCATATCGGCAGCTCCTACGCCCGCATCGCTCAGCTCAGCTGAAAACAAGCCCTCAGAAGCAACCGTAGCTGCCAGACTTCAACACCCAGCCTCGCCCGGGGGCTCTCCTCAACCGCAAACGCAACCGGCCACATCTCGCCGACCTCCAATGCGACTTCCGCCAACACCTCTCTCGGCGGATTCACTCACGCCTTCCCAAACCGCTCACCTCACAGCTCTCACAGCCACGACCCGCACCCTCGACCGCCGCATCCACGCCGTCCGCCAAGACGTCGACACGCTCACCCAAGCCCTACGCATTGAATCCTCAGGCCGTGACAACGAGCTCGAGACCTTGATCCAGAAGTGGAAGGAGGCGAGCCGTGCGGCGGCAGAGGAGGTCTTTGGGCGTAGCAAGGATCGGGTTAATCGGATGGGTGGGGTGGGCGCGTGGAGGGAACGGGAGCGGGAGGGGCGGGAGAGGATGAGGGCGTGGGTGGAGGAGGGTCAGGCGGGAAAGGGAGAGGGAGATGAGGACGAGGATGATGATGAGGATGAGGGGGAGGATGGGGTGGATGTCGAGGCTAGGGCGGCGAGAGAGGAGGCGAGAGTTGAGAGGAAGAGGAGGAGGGAGGAGATGGTAGATGAGCGGACGGAGTTGGAGAAGGAAGAGCAGGAGGACCAGGTTGAAGAGGCTGGGGGTGCGGATGACGATGTGAGTTTATGGCTCGCTGAGAGTCTTTTTGGATGCATACGGCGTGCTTGTTACGGCGTTTGGTGCGTCGAGAGGCTGACTGAATCTTCTAGGCTTTCACGATGGACATGATGCTCAAGACTATGAACATCGATCTCACGGTCATCGGATGGGACAAGGAAGGACAGCGGTGGATCGGATAAGGCCCGATATTCATCGATCACATCCAACTCATAGATTGGAGGAAGGCTTGACACCGCTACGCGCTAAGTGCTGAATGGTGGCTCACGCTGAGATAACTACAGGGCAAGATGATTGCTAAAAGAGAACGCCGAGCTCGCCGTCCTATAATTCGTTTCATCGTAGAGACGTTCTTGCTTGAGCGCAGCTCAGATTGCACCTGAACGAGGCACATGGGGTTTCCAGGTAGGTCGGTTAGGGCTTGAAACCGCTGCTGCTGCTAATTGGACGCGTTAGTGCTACAACAAGTCACGTATCATGTTGCTTCCGGCGGCTTGATAGTTACAGCACAGTTCTATCTAGTCGTATCTAATGGTTAAATGAAGAGGGGAGAAGCATCCGCGCACGAATTAGATATCGGTGCTCATTCTATATCAACTTCATGACACCACTTATCCGAAAACAGATATGGAATGAAGATGCATAACTTTTGATGTGCTCATGTTCGTAGGTGGTGCTAGTGGCTGAGCGCGGCCCAGTAGGTGTATCTAGAAGCTGGGTGCTCAGCTCGGCCTCCCATGTCCTCCCGGATCAATCCAAATCTTCAGAAAGTCAAGTGGTATTCCCTGCCGCGTACAAAGTTGCTCATCCAGGCAAAAAGCAGAAAGCCAAGTGGTCGAACGACTTGGGCTAGAAATCCTGTTCCACCGCCAAAATACCGTGAAATCCACAATGTGATCCTCCGCTGCCATCATCAGCGACCGCGGCACCATGCTCAGCCACATCGCACTGTCGAAGTTCGCTCCATGCGGCGCTCGAAATCTGTAGTCTCGGGCACAAGCCATACACCCAGTGAGCAACCCTTCCCTCAGAAACCCAAGCCCGCCAACGCCGATCTGATCTTGTCGTACGCCTCTATCTCCTCCGGCGTTGGACGAGCCTCCACACCTTGATACCTAATCGGCGCCTGTCCCTGCCTCCTCACAAGGTGGAACCTGTAGATCTGCTTCTCGACATCCGTGCACTGCGAGTCGACCACATCGTACAGGCCGTCGTATCGAAAGCCGCGTTGTGGTCTGAATCTGTTCGACTGCGGCAGGTTGTGGCTTCTCAAAACACGCACAGGCTCCTTCGTACCGCGTGGTCCGACACTCGCAAGCATGTATGATGTGTTTGCGGTGGCTTTGCCGTCGGCTCCATCAGTCCCGGCATACCAAACCTCGTCACCCTCGTCCCTATCACCGTAGTGATTGCCACCTGAGAGGACCACAGAGAAAGCTCCGCCGCCCTCTGTACCGTATATCCCTCCTTGGGCAGCGCCGTGCGCTCCGTCTCGGACGGTACACAGCTGTGTGGGCCACCACTGGCCATTGATCAGATGGCCATTGCCGTAGAAATTGGCGCGGATGCGGGGATAGTCCTTCATGATCCTGTCGGCGTTGCGCTGACCGGATTTGGCCTTGGGGTGTGTCATGTCGATGCCACGCATCACGTCGTTGTCGAAGTCGCGCAGCGCCCACTTGTTGTAGAGCTCCTCGGCATCTGCGCGGACGTCCCAAGGCACAAGAGTGACAGATTCGGAGAAGAAGAGCACAGGAAGCCCTTCATCTAGGAACAGCAACCGGGACTTGCGTACGAGAAGGTCGGTGACTTTATATCGTACTTCCGCCTCGTGGAGCTCCTGACGAATCTGGACGAGGAGGGCGTTATCGTTGCCCCTCGACTCTTTGAAGTCTCTGATTAGGTCCTTGAGCCGTTGAAGCTTGACGAGGATGTCACGATCTATGGTTGCACTTGAGAGTTGAGAACGCGTGAAGGAATTGTACCATGCTGGTGGGTCGCGTTCAATCTGCCAGCCCGCATATGAGGGTGCAGCTGGCTCAGGGCTTGCGCTCGCGGCATTCGCATTTGAGTCTTGCGTTTTCTTAGAGCGCTTGCGAATTCTCGGTAGACCCAGAACTGTTGAAGCGGGCGGCGAACTGGCTTCTGGAGATGTTACTCTACTTGACAGCGTGGGTGAGGTCAAGTCGTCCGAAGGCTCTTTGGTGCGCTTTAATGATGTCTTAGCCACAACGGGGGACGACGGTACGTCGTCTCCAAGTACTGAGTCTGGGGGTGAAGTCTCTCGCTCGGCGCGAGCTATAGGTTCCGGAGGAGGCGGCATCTTGTCGGGAGCTTGTGCTTTCTCTGCTGCAGCTTTCTCAGCCCGCTTCTTTGCATTGAGTTCTTTGCACTGGGCGACGGCTTCATCATAAGCCTTCTTATACGCTGGATTAGAAAGTGAGAACTGCTTGACCATTGCTGCGGCGAACACGCTGTGACGCGTCTACTTAGCTAGCACTACTGTTGAGTTCTGCTAGGACGTGGGACGCGACTGGTCGTCGAAATGATGCTGCTGGCGGCGGATCTCTGCCAGCTCAGCCCAGATGTCCACGTCCGTTGGTGTCAGAAAGCTTTAGTGCTAGTGCCGTAGCGCGTACTTTAAGGAGCAGTCGGTCGTTAAGGTTGATAGAGTGAAGAAGAGTTGTAATAAACAGTGATGTGGAGAGAGCTAGCAAAGTGAACACTAAGGTCTCCTAAAGAGAATGAGATCACGCTAAATTCAACTTATGCTTCAGTTTAGGATAAACCTTGACTGACCAGTGTGTGACGGAATGTTTGTTGCTTTGTGTTTAGTGTCGCGTGATTCGTGAAGATGTTTTGAGGCGGAACTGAAGCCACGGTCTTTTGGAAGCGCGTCAGGCAAGGTGTTGCTGTAGCAATGGTTTCGCCCGTTTGAATGCTAGGCAGCAGGTTTCTGTTTAAGATGACATCGTGCTGCGTGCAGATACTGATGTCTGTGAGGTGAAGCAAGGTTCCAAGAGCATGCGGCTTCAACAGGTTCATGAAGAGAGAGAGAGCGCTCAAGTTTTGGCTGGCCAAATCGTGATTGTAGTGGTCACAGCCAGCGCAAACAGTCCTTGCATGCAAACGCTATCTCTTCAGTGTTCCATCCATTCTACGAGCAGCTTTCTCGTTCATTTGGGATTCGTAATCATTGCGGCTCTCGCACGTGACAACCTCTGGTAATCGTGAGCAAAGTACCTCGATGACCACCGACTTGCGAACTATATCACATCGCGAGCTGTAGGAGAGGAAATGTGAGCGGTCATAACAGCGCCCTTAATCATCAGAATATTTAAGCTCTCCAGCGTCTGAGATTTAGCTACCCGATTTATGCCTAAGCGGCCTGAAGCCTCCCACGGCTGTATTGACGGTAAGTGTAGGTGAATCGCCGTGCATGGGGTGTGACATTGTTCGCAAACGCATCATTAGCAACTGCACTCGAGAATGTTTGTCTTAGCTAGAAGTGTTTTGGACTAAGTCAAACTATCATTCTCTATCCACTTACTAAGACCTTTGGTGTCCAATCAGGCGTCCAATATATCTTTCCATATAGCATAAGATACTTTACCGCTCAAAGCCTCTACAGGACCTTACCAATCCTAGCGCTCTGAGATCGCTCTCTGCTCTTGAAGCGTAAGAGACACCAGCAGCAATCACAAAACCACAGCAGAAGACGCCTCTACTCCACCACAGCCTCCTGATAAGCCCCCTTCGGATGCCTAACCAACCCTCCCTCCACCACGCTCCCATCTCCCTCCCTCACCAACCCCTGCACCCACCTGACCCCATCTGTCCACCACGAATGCCTATCCGGCCTCAGCCCCTCCGTCTCAAAACTCGCCTTATCCAGCGTGCCGAGCGCAATATCTATGCTCCTCGGCCCCGAATGCTCGGGCGGCCTCTCGCCATCATAGAAGAACACGACACCGGTGCCGCAGCGGGCGCAGAAGGTTCTGTTGCGGTTTGGGCGCGAGCAGTAGGTGCCGAGGTAGGTTTGGGACCGTAGCTCGTCATTTGGGACTCCGACGGAGGCGGTGTCGGGCTTGAGCAGGTTGGAGGCCTCGTCCTCGCCGCCCTCACCGCCATGGCGGTTGGCCAGCGGGCCCTGAACCCCCTGGCCGGATTCTCGCTTCACAAGGCTGAATGAGACCCAGTCGAGCGGGAGGATTATCCAGGTCTGGAAGAGGCTGCCACACGCGCGCCGGCAGGACTCGCAATGGTCCAGGTCGATGATCGGGAGCTGCGTGGGTGCGGATTGCGTCCCTTTGCCGTCTGGGGAAGGGGCAACTGGATCGGGGATCGCGGGCGGGCGGTCAGCGAGGGCGGGGATGGAGATGGTGTAGCGGATTGCGGAGCAGAAGCAGCCGCCTGTGAGGGTTAAGGGGTCTGGTGGGAGGGAGGGATGCATGGTTGCGATTGGGGTTAGTGTAAAGGTAGTGTCAGTGAGAGTGGTGGAGACTTCGAAGAACGGGATGACACGGCGATGGAGGCCATATTAATATATATTGGCGTGCGGGGATTCGCTCGTGTCATCTTTGCATTCGAAGGGCGCGCGTTGCCCTGGTTTGCAGGCCGGGAGAAGATCTGCTGCATGGGCATCGCCAACAAGGTGACGGCGCGGGCACCAGCTCGCACGCGAGACGCGAAGTCACGAGAGCACGTGACGGAACCTATAGAATAGGAAAAGCAAAGTCGTTAGGTCTGGCTAGTGGTATCAAATGCGCTCAAAGACAACATGCTAAAAACAAAATGTACTGTACAGAGGCGGTCACAAATCGCCAAAACAGCATATGCGTAACAGCCGGCAGCGCTCAGAAATGCTCCTTCCAGAACTTGAAGTTCACTTCCTGCGACGTTGCCGCCTTGCACGCCTTCTTGATATCCCTTGCTGCGCCGCTCGGTCCGCAAAAATACACACCGACATCCGTCTTCAAGCTGCTCTCTAGACCGCTCATGTAGGTCCTGTTCATGATGCCGTCCCGCATCCCGCACAACAGCTTGTTGAAGTCTGGCCTGCCGAAGTTGGTTCTGCTCCTCAGCTCCGTTAGGGGATCTTTGTCAGTGCCGACACTGTTCAGCACGATGTTGTTCGCGGTATTGACGTCCATCCGCTGCGTCAGGTACGTGTGGATGCGGAGAAAGTCGGCGCCATCGGCACCGGGCGCGCCTAGTGATTGCTGCTCCAGCGACGAGAGCAGGGCTTGGAACCACTCAAAGGACGTAGTATCCTTGCACACCCAGATGAACTCCACCCTGCGCAGCCTCTTCGGCGGGTTGGGCGAAAGCCGCATGTGCCAGATATTCTTGAGGATTGAGGCCCAAGGCGTAACGCCAATGCCGGTGCCAATGAGGACGGCAATCTCGTTTTCGAACACGTCTTCGGCGGGTGCGCCGTATGGCCCGTCGATGCGTAGCTTGGGCATTTCCTGCCCGTGCTGGAGGGCTACTTCGTACATGCCCATGGGGTCGAGCTCGTCGTAGAGCTTGGCTTGCGATTGGCCAGCGCCAAGCGCGTCGGCGAGCGCGCGGGTGAAGTCACCGACTTGCCGAACGTGGACGCTGATGTAAGGGTCGAAGGGACAGGAGGTGATGGTGAAAGGGTGCCATTGGTGGGTCGAGACGGCCGGGCAGTTGAGGAAGAGCCATTGGCCGGCTTTGTACTTCATGGACGGCTTACGGAACTGGATCTCGACCGCATCTAGACAAATGTTAGTTGCCGGCCTAGCGAACGTCAAATGTTGCTGATTACTCACCGTATGGATGACGGACGACTTTGATGATCTCAGTCTCCCTGCGAGCGCGAATCTCTCGGTAAACTCGTTCAAACAAGTACAGTCCGCCGCCAACTAACTCCCACCTCCACCCCTCATAGCCAATGCAGTGATCCCAGAAGCTCTTGGCAAACGGAGAGTGTGGGAGTACGCTGTCACGCACGAAGCATCCTGTTGCATGGGTGTACATGGCCAACATGAATGGGATGAAGAGATGGTGCGTGTACCAGAAAGTCTCAAATGACTGCTGCCGTATCTTATGATGCGCGGTTGTGAACATGAGTAGCATGCAGAGAAGCATGACGTGACCAGTGACTCCGCCGGCCTGTGTGTAATGAATTTGGACGGCTGTCTCTTTGCGGACTTGAGACTTCTCGACGTTGAAGAAACTGCGGCTGTCAGCTACAACAGGACATGTCCAGAACGGGGGGGTCTTACTTGACGTAGTGGCTCGCAGTATGGACAACCGTGTAGATTAGCATGGAGTATGCCACCTGGCGATGGAACCACTTCGACTCATCTAGCGGTAGCCACCTGATTTTTGGCCGTACCCATCGTAATATCGTTCTACACATGGGCAGTAGGATAAGAAGCGTGTCAACTGAGAGACACAGACCAGCACCGCGTGAGAACCAGACTGAGAACTTGAGCGTGTTCAACGGCGCCAGGCGTAAGTCAGATGCTTGCTTCCACCTGGAATTCATGTCAGTTTCCGTAGGGGGGTTACAACAGGCTTGCTTTGACTTACCATCCGAATACGAACAGGCCAACATGCAATCCATGGAAAAGAAGGTAGAAAATCCATTTTCTGACTGTGAAGTGCGCACGCCAACTTCTCGCTGCGCCCATTGTGATGTTTTATCCTTTGCTGTTGCTCTGAAGAAAGAACAGGCTCAGTAGACGCGATACGAGCAGAAGGCTTAGCCCAAGTATTCCGACAGGCAGACCGTTTTTGTGATCTTAACGAGTGCCTCAGAGAATAGCACGATTATTTATATGAACCAAGAAAATCGTAGAGCGCGTGAAATTTATCAGTAAGCCTGCACGGCAAGCGAATGTAAACTGGGAGACTATGCTGGCCAGCCAGATATCGAGAAAGGAGTGGTCGTCTGCGAGAGAGGAATGAGCGAGCGAAGAACTCGACTCTGCAGTATATCGAAATCGTCAAGACTGCACCAGACAGTGCTGATGCCTGAAACGGTGGATGGAACCGGTTGGATAGAACCCGAAGAGTGGGAGGCTCAAACAGTTGTTGCTGGTGAAACTGACTGCAACAGTCTAATGTGTGTTCCTGACGACGAGAGATGGTCGTGAGAGATCAGGATGCCAGTATCATGCGTTCACGATCGCGCTGGTTGGTAGGCTGAGTATATGATACTTTGTGTTCTCGGGTGTGTTGCAATGCGGCATGTCGCACAGCCGTCTCAGATGTGTATGGAACCTCTCTTCACCATTTTTGGTTTCTTGACGGTTGTTGTAAGATCGCCACCGAAGCCCACTGGAGCTTGCGACGGATATATCTCTACGCTACGTCCTCTTTTCAACGTTTCAGCCCTTGACTTTATGCGCGCACTCAAGACGTAACTTCAAGAAGTCCAACCGAGACGATGCGGAGCGGTTAGGGCCCTTGGTGGAAGCCTGACGGTGTGGTGGGTTGGTAATGCCGAGAAGCCGCAGCTACGTTACTGTGTCTGTATCTAACCTCGGTATCTGAAGCGTTGCGGTGTAGTCTTGGAGGCGATATGCGGCGAGGCAGCGTTGGGGTCGAAGGCTGGAGTTTGCGGAGGTATGAATAGATGGAGTTCCGACACACAGGGGTGTACTCTGATGTGAAACGTCTGGTAGCACAAGTCCCGGCGAAGCGGATTCCAGATTTTGATGAGCGCGTGGGTAAGGCTAAGTACCTGCAGCGACAGCCTTGTTGTATGATTATGTGAGGAACAAAAGCCGAGGGATTCTGAGAGTCGAGGTCGCGGCAGTGATCGAAGAGATGTCACCAACAGTCGCTCAGGGCTCCGCGAGTCAGATCCATGTGCTCTCTTCCCGCATGCATCTGCAAGAAGCGGAGCTTTATCCACAGGCCAGTGCCCAAATAGGGCTGGCCTACCGCCTTGGCTCACCGGCGGCCCTTTGAGTGGGCTGCGGGAGAGAGGGAAGCGGTGACCGTGCAGATGTCCCTGACCAGCCATCCTCAACCGGGGCGGCGGGGCTTTCCCTGGTGCGCATTCGAGCGAATGCGGGCAGTCCTGGACGCGCTGGCGCTATGAATACTTCGATACTCTTGTCCGCTTGGTCACACTCGTGACGAGCGCGACCAATATCAACAACGGAAGAAATCGCCCTCGTCACTCGGCTTCAATAGCGTGCGGACTTCATGGGATATTTGGCTGCCAGAATGATCAAACTATCACAGTGACAGTGATAAAGACCGCATGCTAAGGGGCCAGAAGCCGAACGCCTACACGAAGCAGGCTCTGTCTTTTCAAGGCGCCATCCTCACGTATTTGGGTAGCTGCAATACTAGATTTTCCAAGATACCGTCTGATACCATTATATAGACACCTTGTCCTGACTCGCGGAAGGAAACAAACGATTGCAGCAAGCAACTGATGTCATGAAGCGGTGAGAAGAGCGAGAGTAGTCTAGAGAAGAAAGATGATTTAACCAATTCACGATAGATGGACCAGTTGATTTCTCCGTGACCGGACAGGCGGCCAGGTCGGCCAGCGCGGCATCTAGAACACAGTGCTTGTGGTTGATAGTGTGGGCGTTTATTTTGAGACTGTCGCCAATCACCTCGCGTACCACGGGTCCTTCCCCGGTGTGACAGACATTAGCTCAACAGGTACCAGGAGCTAAGGGTGGCTAAGAATGGCACGCCAGGGATGCTCTTGCGACCGATTTGCTGCTCTGAGCGTCGGCGCTTAAGTCTTGGGCCTGCCGTGCGTGGAGAAGCACGTCCCGCTAAGCTCTTCCCCATCCCGAGATGCGCCCAAGACTGGCACCAACAGCCACACATGCGACGTCCTGCATGAACTCAAGCCCAGCATGCTTGCCGCACTTGTCGACTCGAGCTGGCGCACCCGACGTCTGCGTTATGCGCCGGAACCTTCGTGGCATGGCCGCCACCAACTGGGGCAGGTCTACCCCCAGATAAGATCTCTAGGGTCCCTCATAGAGTGATCTCTACATGTCTGCCATATCCTCCGGTAATAACTAGTCTTGCTGTGCGAGAGCATTCTGTCGTTTCACAGAGCACAAAGGGCACTTTTCCGCTGGCACGGTCAACTGAGCTCTCTACGGCATCTCCACCATGGGAAAGCTCATCAAGAACCACTGGGCGCGCCTGATCATGCTGGCGGCAGCAGCTTGTAAGTACCTACAACGCAAACCTTTCCAGCTCCGCTAACATCTCCGCAGACCAGATTGCCGCAGCTCTTGAAGGCTTCTTCTGGCCGAAGATCTTTTGGGACTTCCTCACCAAAAACCTCGACGGCGCCGTCAAGCCGGTACCCATCCTCCAGACTGTCAACCTGCTCTTCGGCCTCTTCGCATTTGCATGGGAGTGGCCGCTGAAGCAGATTGCGGGCTCCGCGATCCACCGGTCGATAGAAGCTCGCCTAATTATATTCCCGTTGGGAGCGCTGGCCGCTGCGTTGATGTACCAGTCGACGAACCCAGCGATATACTATACAATTGGCATGGGGGTGTACTTTTGGGCATACAGTGAGGGCGAGGTACGTTGCGCCGTCCAATCTGCCGTGTTCTTACCTCTAACGTATGGTCGCAGGTTGTGTGCGATGAGCCGTGGTCACTACCGTCAAAACCGCGCAGGACTACCAAAGTTTAGACGCTTCCGTGAATAATATGGGGCAAAATACGGCGGGTCTTTTGAGTACGTTTTGCATAGCGAGGCGTTTTGGTTTACTAGGTCTATATCTTGCGGGATCCAAGCATTGACAGTATGAGAAGCACAGTCAAGAATTACTCTGATTCCACACGCGGGAAGGTCCACATGAAGCCTTGAAGGTGGTGAATGCATAATGACCGTGCGCAAACGCGACCTTGCTTTGCAGTGGTTTGATTCACTTCACATTATCGAGAATGCCCTTGTGTCTCGCTTGGCTTTCACAAGACTTCAACCCATATCAAACACCGTCAGCTTTCTGCACTGTACATTCCCTCTTCGCTGTCCTTCCAGAACAGCTGTTCCAACATAGAACCGTCGAACACCACCCTCAGCTTTAGTTTCCGCATAGGCACGCATCCATTACTTCCCTCCTTCGACGCGAAGAAGTTCTTCCCCATCACATCTGAACCGCGTAAGAAAAGCAAAAAGCCCATGTCGACATTCGGAACCGTCAGGATCTTGCCGCGTCCTCTTGACGCGCTGTTTCCACGTCACGTGGTCGACCCTCGCGCTGCCGAAGACAACGCATCAGTCGTAACCTCCGACAGCGAAGACGGCGGTGTTGCGATCCCGCTATCTCTGAAGAAGAAGAAGAAGAAACATCGGGCAGGAAAGAAGCATAGAAGAAGTGGCAATAAAGTGCAGGGCACTACCACCAGCGCTGACACCTCTGAGATCAACGAGACTGTCCTTATCCCGCGCAGCCAAGAAGTCACTGCCAAACCGCTTGCAAGTTACGAAGACACTGCTCAAAACTACGAGTTCAACCACCGCCTCTCTCATGATGTCGGCGACTATATTGCCATCTACGAGGACCGGAAAACTTCGCCTGCTACTGTGTTCGCTGCGCGATCTCACGAGCCTTCCGACATACATAGAACCACTGAGTCGCCTGGCTCAAGCGCATCTATTCCTCGTCGCGAAGGGGCGCCCGGAATTTCACAGCGGGCGAGCCCAGTTCTTCCGCCTGGAAATATGAGCGTGCATCCAGCGCCCGACAAAACACCTGTAGAAGAGGTTGATCTGACAACTGCCACGGGCGAGTACAAGACGCCTTCGCCGGCTACAGTTTTGGCTAAGGACCCCCTTGATGCTTCCAAGGTTGCTCCAAGCGCCAAACCGGCCACATTAAGCGCGTCTGCACGCAACCACAGCGAGGCGACATCGCGACTGAGAGCGCAAGCGACTCCCTTTTCTTTGCCCGAAGACCTGAGCATGTGGCTATCGCCGGGTGGAACGCTTGTCGAAGGGTCTGACCACATCAGCAGCCGCAAAGATACCGGTGCAGATGATGGCGCTGAATTAGTGCCGCAGTTGGCCCAGCATGAGATCTACAAGCAAGCTCGAGAAGAGCAGAACGAAGCTCGCAGAAAGACCGACGCTGAGAGGAGGTCAAGACAGATTGTGCGCATGCTGGAAGCGGAGCAAGAAAAGAGGCTTGCCGCTGTCGAAAGCAAGCTCGTACCCTACACCAACGATGTCGCTGCACTAGGACCATCAAATGTTCCAACCATCAAGTCCGCGCCCTCAGCTTCGCATAATGGTGGTGGTACAGAAGCTCAGCCCGTTTCGGTCCGCCGCAACGATCATTTCTACCGGAAGCTGGTTTCGATCCAGGACAAGCAGTCGATCCCGATGCACAACAGCAACCCTCGGAGTAGGATGGCCATGTCAAGCATATCCTTCGCATCTATGCCGCCACAACATGCCGCAGTGGCAATATCATCACACCACCTATCACGCCGGGAAAGGACGCAGCGGTGGAGAATGGGGGTCCTCAAGGCCTCTCTCGGGCAGTTGTAAAGTCGTAGGGTTACAATGAAATGGTTTTCATAGATGTTTAGGTGCTCAATGAGCGAGTGTGACGCACGAATTTAGGACAGCGCTGTTGCAGAACTTAGAACGGCTTAAGAAGGACTGGCATTGATCTTTTTGACTTGGATAAGCAGGTATCAAGCGTCTTGGTAGCGGAGCAGCCTGTGATGGCGTTTGATAGCGTAGTGCACCGAACGCTAAGGTGCCCGAAACTCTGAGAGATCCATGGGTCCAAACGGACTGAGTTCCATGAGTGACGGCACCAGTAAACGGCCCGCCGGGCTCGTGTTCGTCCCAAGATCATCAAAAACAACCACGTCCAAGAATAGACACCCACGCGACAGGCAGGCATGTTCAAGCGAGACAGACTTTCTTCCGACGTCAAACGGACCGAGCTCTCTTCAAGCATCCAGAAATGCTATTGTATGTGCTAAGCATAGAACCACGACTTACCACTTCCTTCTCAGCTCTTCTGCGATGGCGCCTTCTTGTGCCAAGGAGGCTACCAAAGCGGTTGCCTAACACGCCCTAGATACAACCTCAGCATAGCTCTCACATAAGGGCTTCAGGTCTAAGTGGCAGTGCCGACCAACGACAGATGGCCTTCGCACACTTCTTCCCTTGCAGCTCATACCGACAGGTTCACAATGCCGGCTGTTTCATGTTTGAAGAAGCCATCGACTCCGCAGGCGGATATTTCGGTTCTTGCTCTCTGGAGACTAGTGATAACCCTCCAACTTCCAACGCCTTATTTGTCAGGGCACACTCCATGAACCTTTACGGATATCTACTAGCAGTCATTTCTGGTTTAAGGCAGTGACGGTCTTGGCCGATGAAAGCGGTGCGTATGGCCTGCTCAACAGGCCGCAGCCATGCGACCTAGAGAGCCTTATATCCCGCTGCGTCACTGCGGCCGGACACGTTATCTCTCACACAGCAATCGTCCGAACTGCCCTTTTTCCTAATGAGATCTGGCGTACAACTAGTTTGACTGATAGTCCCGCGTTAAGAGTTACTGCTAGGCCTCGTGTATGGATAAGTACCTTAGTTGCCTGAGAGTCACGCATGATCTCATGCACAAATTGCCTTGTTGCTCTTTCCCTAGGACCCATTCCATTTTACTCGTCATCTCACGCATCAGATAAAGAACTGCCTTAGAATTTGATCCGTCACATAGTTCTCTCTGTATCTACTTCAGCATCGATTTAGGCGCAAAAGCACTACTCACTACTTCACTTCGGCGCTTCGATTCTTCCTACACTTTACCTAGTCGCCTACGATAATCTGGTCCCATATCTTCATATTCGCACATGTGTATTCAAATTGTCGAACGCTACGCCGCCTGCCGCTGCCTGTACTACAAGCACGCCGTCGACCCGTGCTCCTCATACGGACAGCGTGGCCACACGGTGCAAGAGAGGACCGTACTTGTCGGTTATGCCTGCTCAACGCACACAACACGCACATACACACCATGTCCCTACGACAGTAGTAGACCGCTAGCAGACTCGGGGTATCACAGCGGCCGCTGCGACTGAATTGGACTTGCGATGACGGGTCTCACAAGAGGTTGTCATAGTCTTAAAATATGGCGCCTCTACGAACCGAATTCTTAGAAAAAGGTCGATGGGATCGACTATCGTTTAATGCATCGAACCTGCGATGCACGCCTCAAATACTCCGCTCCACCACAGCGCCCCACCGCATTCATCTTATCTAGGACAGCCTGGATTTACAGCTGGGACAGTCGCGTTATTGAGTTACAAGGCCTTGTTAGCCGGACGCTGCAGCTCTACACATCCGGGCGGGCCATTTCCACGGCCTCGGGTCATTCTTGTGATTCCATAACACGCAACGCTCTCATCTCACTCCGAAGTGGTGCGGCGCTGCCGTTCTCAACTCCCAACCTTGCCTGCTTACCTCCGACACAATACTCAACCGACGTCGCCAGGTTATGTTGAGCACGAATAAGGGACCGTTTACAGGATTTGATTGATCAGTATTAGCGCGGCTTTCGCATCTCTCTGTTCGCTTCTATTGTTGGAGTACTCAAAAGCAAGTTGTTCCATGTTTATGCTTCTGTTTTTGCACGATTCATTTGTTTGTATTTCTCTGTATCTTCGTCATTTGTTGGTTTGGATCGCGGCATAGATGCTGTCGGCCTTCCCGCTCTGCTGGCAGGGCTGGAGACCGGCACCTCGCTTCTTCAATGCAGTGCTTGTATTGATAGCGTTCCGGTACCACTTTGATAGATATATCGCTTATTGTTGTTCTAAAGCATGTCGTATCTAGCTATCCTATCCTCCCGCTTAACCTCCAAATTCGAGCTATCGGTTTCGATTCATCTCTTCTCCGCTTTGTCCAATGAGCATTTGTTATTTGCATTCACCAGTTCCTACCTGCGGCATCATTAACTCGGGCAACAAGCAGAGTTGCATGCTTAGGAGGCTTGGGCAACGTTTAGCATCAAGCAGACTACTATCACGTTTGTATGCATTGAATCAGATATGACTATAGGCGACGTGTTTGAGCATGAACATTTGCATTTGAGTTTCTCTCTGCCAGCAAGATCTGCTTCTTGCAGAGAGATAGCAAGCGTACATGCCACAGAACTACCTAGAGCCGGCCAAGCCGCAGTTCCCAGCTTGTGCTCCACATTGCCAGCGACGGTTCAACTCTCTCCCCAACCGTCTGAAAGCCTCACACCAGGCCTCACTTCATCCACCACTTCCATCCCCAGCTCTCCACTTCCTCCGCATCCGCAGGCCTCCCTGTCAGGGAGCGCGATGCATTTGCCAGTTTGGCTGCCGCGGTAGCAGCAATTAGGATACGATGCTCTTCCTCCGTCGACGCACTGCAGACCAGCTACAGCGCGCCACGGGCTCGGAGCACCTCTTCAACAAACCAAATGAGCGTAGCGATATTAGTGACCCTCCAAGGTCCAATTCGAGAGGTAAGAAAAAAAAGGCATCGGTGTCGACGACCGATATCTGGGCTTTCATCTACTCGCCTCATCTAGCGACGCACAACGATGCCTTGGCGGCGGGTCGTGCGGGCCTGGTACCCCTCGTCATCCTCGGAGCTGCACTCCTCGCTGTCGTCAGAGTACCCACAGCGAGCACCGCCGCAGTCGAGCTTGACGCGGTCGCCGGCGCGCGTGATGCCGTAGCGCTCGCACGTGCAGCAGGAGCTGGAGCTCGAGACGCTGGATGGCGAAGAGCTGTTGGAGCTGCGGGAGCTGCGGCTCGTGAGCGACGGGACGTCGGACTCGTTGTCGGAGTCGTCCTCGTCGGAGTCGTCCTCGGAGTCGTCCTCGCTGTCCTCCATGGTCGCCTTGCTGAAGCGGCTGGTGAGCGCCTCGACGGTCGCGGGCTCGTAGGCGCCGGCGACGATCTGGCGGGTCTCGTTTGGCTTCACGGGGCGAGGGGACTTGATCTGGGACGGGGAGAGGGAGCGGCCCTTGGGCACGTTGGCGGAGGCGCGGCGCGAGTGCCGGTTCGATGCAGCTGGGGCGGCGGCGGGAGCAGCGGCGGCCGGGGCGGTCTTGGCGGCGGGGATGTCGAGCGTGTTGAGCTTGCGGCCGGTGGTGGGCTCGGTCACGGACTCGCGGGCGGGATCGTGCGAGACGTGGTAGCCGTCGATGATGTACTGTGGATAGGGTCAGCCAGGGTTGCGAGGAGAATCGGAGACAGAAGTGGGGACATACGTAGTACCAGTAGCGCTTGCCCTGCTGGAGCGTGGTGCCCTGGAAGCGGAAGGTGCCCTTCCAGCCACCAGCCTTAGCGGCATCCTTGGAGAGCGGGAGCTGGCCGTTGTAGTTGTCCCAGGAGCCGAGGAGGTGGACGGTCTTGACGTTGGCGGAGGTGCGGAGGGTGAAGTTAAGCTGGATCGCTGCCATTTTGAAATGTGTGTTGGTTTATTGGAAAAATTTGGGATTGTTGTAGTTTGTAATGAGCAAGAAGAGGCTGTAATTAGGCTTGTGATGTCGACCGGCGACGAAGAATTAGAATGATGGTGGTTGATTGGGACTATTGGTATGTGGATTTTTTTAGTTTGTAGAAGAAGAGCACCAGGCCCGTAGAACGATTAGAGAGGAAAAAAAGAACTGAAACGGAACAAAAAACTAATAGACAGCTCTTGAATTGTGCAGGCTTGCTGAGGAAAGAAGTCGACGATGCGGCAGTGAAGCCCTTCTTATCCTTCATGCTGTCCTCCCTCACCGGCCGGACCAAGGCGGGAAAGATGGCAGTACCATGTCTGTTTTCGGCTCAGCTCCTGCACGGCGTGCTGCGATTGCTAGCATGAGGGCGTCGGCAAGGTGGTGAGCGCTTGCAGACGACAGTCGACTGGATAGCCTTAGGTGTTGTTCTGCTGGGGCGGCTGGGCGGGGGCGGATCATTGGATGGAGCGATGTAAGGGTACGCAAGAGCTAATGGAGACAACTGCAAGCCATCCCGAAGTCCATCACCAATCGCAGCGGCTGCGCAGGCGGGCAAGGTGACGGTCATTGCATTCCGCTCCCGCTACAGCAGTCACACTGCAGTGGGCAGAAGCGAATCGATAGAGCGGCCTTGCTCGAGGGGATGCCCTGATTAACACGCGTGCGCCGGTCGAGCCTGTGCTGCACCTCGCCCTTGGCTGCGTCGACGCCTTCAGGCGTTGCATGCACACTGTGGCAGCCTGGCTGCGAGGCCAATGGCAGGAGAGTGATCGAGATTGACCGGTTATGCACGACAGGACTTCGGCAAGAGGCCAGCGGCTATGCGCATGCGGCTGACTAGACTATCGAAGATACCCATCTCGTGCCCTGGTCGAGCAAGGCGGCGACGTGGTGGACCCATGGTAGAGAGAGTGATAGTGGCAGCCACCGTCAGTGCTAGCAACGGACTTCATCAATCGTGCGCATGGCCGGCGACTAGGTGAGGGGAAAGCAAGCATCAACGAGCAGGAGACGGTGCGAGCCAAGAAACCTCTGCAATAGACGGGCAAGTACTGAGTAGAGCGTGAACTGCTCCAGGTGTCTACGACGAATGCGAAAGGGGTCGAAATCAACGGTGCCCCTATCAAGACTGGAATCACACAATGCCTAAAGGCACAGGATCAATCGGGATCACTTTATTTACATGTTCTCATGCATATCACTCATACGACTCCGGACATCGTTTAGCCACATAAATCTCGAGTAGGAAGATCTTACGAAGTAAGTTTTGGAAAGCTCGCCTAATCCTTATGACCTTGCGGCGACCTAAGACTTCAACCTTCGATTAGGGCCTCTTGTGAAAGGACTGTAAATGCGAACACAAACAATGTTTCAATAGAGCAAAAGGCGAACAAGGAAAATTATAGTGCTGTGCAAGCAACGGGTGTCCCACCGTATGGGATAGCTGATCACAATGTGGGATTTGTGACCCCTCGAGTTTCGGGATTGAAGCTGTTGATGTTCCAGAATGTACAGATGCCCGCGCGGCGAGAGATGCGGAACCCATACTCCAGTATATGATACATCCTTCCCCAGAGACAAACCTTTTCGGATGTTGTCCTTGTCCGAAAAGTCAGGTCGGCCCTCGATAGGCCTTAGACCTCGATCAAACTCGCATCTTGAACGGTCCGTACACTCCTCCCTTGATCCTCCACCACCATTCCCGCTCGATGATGCCTCCCAGACCAGTCCTGTCTCCCTGTCTTCACCAGACCCCCTTTACATCCCAAACATGCCACCGCCTCCACCACCCCTGTTCTGCGCATCTCCCTGCATCTTCTCTGACACCTTGACGTTGACCTCGAAGAACTTGGACACGCATCGGTCAAGGCAGACGGATTCGCCCTTATTGAGGTCGCCTTCGGCGTAGGTGGGAGGTATGCATTTCTTCGAGCAGGATCGGACTAGTCTGTGGGCGTGTTAGGATGCTGAAGATATGATAGATAAGGTCCCAGGTGGCCGAGTGCTTTGGAGCAATGGAAAGCGGCATGGTGTCTTACCGACTGAACATGTCTGATACCATGTCAACCTCCATCTCTGCGGCTGCGATCTTCTCCGCCGATGTGGGCTGCGGGCGCCCGCCGCCGAAGAGGAAGGACATTGTGAATGCTGACGGAGGATGATGAGGCTCTCGTGCGGTGGGTGAGGAGGGGTGTTTGGAAGTGTTCTCGTGGTTCGGCGGATGATGCAGTTTCCCGGAGGTGAACTTCTTGATAGCTTGGAGCTCGGACCAGGTGGAATAAATCCATACGCGTCGGGGATTTCTCACTATCAAAATCGAACTGGCATTGCAAACAACCACCACCAAGGCCCCGCTGGGGTGAGCAGGTTAGCATGTAAGTTTCCGTTAACTAGACTTCCTTTGCTCTTGGATTATGCATCTTCCATGATGATTGTAAACATTAGAACCGTTGCGAATGACGCTCGTCTTTCGGCGCGCGGTTGACTATATCATTACCCGAATCTGAACCTCCGTACAGCTCACTTCTCTTCAACGACTGCATCAGCATCTTGGCAATTGCTGACCCTAAATAGTATGAGCACCTCTAGTTGCCGATTCCTGCGGCCGTACCTCAAGAAAGGCCTCAAGCCTATACACACTCCCAACCATGCTCGGTTCTTCCGCGCCGTACACCATCACTGCGTGTCCAATGCCGCCGACTCCCATCAGTCGTTTTCTCTCGACCGAGAGAAGCGTCTGAGAAAGCTCGAGGAAGCCGGGAATCTTGAACAGCACTATCCACGCATGACAACGCCGAAAGGAAGTACCCGTATATCGCCTCATGGGTTTTTGAATAGATTCGGAGCGCTGGGGAAGGAGGAGACATTGAGAGATGTGACCGTCAGTGTGTCGGGTATTCATCATGCCTCCTTATCCTACACCGAGACGCATCCTGATGGCTCTAGGTAGAGTGCGGTCGAACCGGTCTTCAGGCTCGAAGCTAGTCTTCTTCGATGTCTCGTATGAAGGCGAGACAGTACAGGCAATGTGCAACTTCCGGGCGCTTTCAGAAGCGGGGGTAAGCCGCGAGGACTTCCAGAAGTTTAAGCAGATTTTGCGGAAGGGGGATTCTGTTTGTGAGTCCGTCCTGACACGAGGGAGCTGCTCTTTTAACACGTTTCAGCTGTTACCGGACACCCTACCAGGACATCATCTGGCGAGCTCACCGTGCTCGCCACGGAGCTGCCTCAGATCTTGAGCCCGCTGATCCAACAGATTCCGGAAACTCTCACCGATCCCGAAACGCGGGCCCTTCATCCTCATATCGACACCCTGGTCAACCAGGAGCCACGAGACGTCACTGTCCTGAAACATCTCATAAAGAGACGAATAGAAAGCTTTCTGGAAAACGACGGATTCATCGGGGTTAATACACCACTTTTGGAGGCTCGAGCGGGGGGTGCTATAGCTCGACCTTTCGAGACGAGGGCGACCGAGTTCCCGAATACGCCAATTAGTCTTAGAATAGCCCCCGAACTATATCTTAAGCGGCTGGTCATCGGTGGCTTTGACAAGTTGTACGAGATGGGACCAGCTTTCAGGAACGAAGGTACGGGTAACCCATTGCTCCTGGACAGACAATTCACTAAGCTGCAATCTGTTCAGGTATCGATGCGACTCACAACCCCGAGTTCACCATCTGCGAGTTCTACGAGACATTTGCCACGCTCGAGGATCTGATCCTGAAAACCGAGACTCTTTTCCGAGAACTCGACTCCTACGTCCGCACTCTCAAAACCACCAAACTCAACTCCCTCGACCAACTCGAGGACATCGACTTCACCTCCCCTTTCGCTCGCCTCCCCTTCATCCCCACCATCGAAGCCGCAATCCACCGCCAACTTCCCGACCTGCGCTCTCCCTCCGCCACCACAGACCTCAAATCCCTCTTCGCCGACCTCGACATCCCGCTCCCCGCCCACCCGACGCTCCCCCGCCTCCTCGACGCCCTAGCAGCCCGCTACATCGAACCCCTCTGCATGCAACCGACCTTCATAACGCATCACCCCGAGATCCTCTCCCCTTTGTCCAAATCCTTCCTCGACCCCTCGACTTCCCAGCACGTCGCCGCGCGCGTCGAGCTCTTCATCCGCGGCCACGAGTACGTGAATGCGTACGAGGAGGAGAACAGCCCGTTTGAGCAGCGGCGGAAGTTTGAGGAGCAGGCGCGGTGGAGGGAGCTGGATGGTGAGGTTGTTGGAGGGTTTGGTAGGAGGGCGGGGATCGATGAGGGATATTTGGAGGCGCTGGAGTTTGGGTTGCCGCCGACGGGGGGTTGGGGGTGTGGGGTTGATAGGTTGGTTATGCTGTTTGCGGGGGTTGGTAGGATTGCGGATGTACTGCCGTTTGGGACGTTGAGGAATGTTGTTGCGTTGGGGCAGGCAGGCAGGAGGAGATGAGATAGGTTGGGGCGGATGAGAGCGTAAGAGTAAATAAGAGACGATGGAGCGAATTGTGTGTAGCACTACTGTAAGTGTCCTGAATACTACAGAAGTTGGTCGAGCCAGTTTGCGCTGCCCTCAGCCTCTAGATCCAAAGGCTACTTCGTAGTGCTGCTGCCGGGTCTCGGAGTCCTGCTCAGCAGAAGAGAACTTCTCCCAGTGACAACACACTCTAGAAAAATGCCCCTCTGCTACAAGAATATCCCGTGCGATTGCTTGCGTCAAGCTGGTAGGATTTTCTACAGGCGGCTTGAACAGCAGCGCCATCCCAACACCTTCCGACAAACTAGTCATTAGCAATCGCGATACAGCTAACGCCAGCATGATACATGGGACTATTACTCCACGTCTCAGCGCGCACGACGGCCCTTCCTGTACGAGGTTTCCTTGACTGAGGTGTTCACCCTGGGTTGTTCGCACATTCCAGATCAGCCTGGCTCAAAGCGAAGAAGACCCTCGGAGGCTTCGTAAAGGGACGGTCAAAGTTCCAGACGAGATCATCTCCTCGGACATCTATTTTGGCTTCCAGGTTGTTGATACCGCATATGTTGTTTCCATTCTTACTGAATGCCATCCACTGCGCGGCAGCGCCGTAGAGGATGGTGTCCCACCAGGTGAAGAAGTTGAGCCTGAAGCCGTCCCGCGAGGTGTCTGTGGGGGTAGACTTTGAGACGGCGGTTGTGGTGCATATTGGAGTCAATCATGGTTGTCCAGCACACGACTTGCGGATCGTCCTGATATCGTGTCGGAAACGGAATCCAGATGGATTTGATAAAATCCTTGCTGCCACGGTGTATCCCAAGCTCATCCCCATTACCGCTGGTCGCGCCATGCTGGATGTCTGTATCCTCGGCCGGAAGCTCAATTCAGGAGACTCCAATTTCTTCGCAGTGCATTCCCAGCCCCCACCGTGAGAGGCGCGCCGTGAAGCCTTCTTCCCTGACTTCATCCACTTGCACCTTCGATTCAGGGTGAGATCGAGTCTAATCGAACTTTGGCATCACTGGTATAACATGAGAACGATCTATCAGCTCGAGTCGTCGATTGATCTATTAACTCGCTTATAGGTAGCTCTAACCCGCTTATAGCCAAACACCTTTTTTGTCTTGGTAGAAAGCTGAGTGCGGCACTGGACAAAACCCTAGGCTGTGTTCTTCCGGAGCCTTCCGCACCAACACCACGCCAAGATGTTGGATACCGCGGTTCGGAAGCTCCGGATCTAGGTCGGAAGCCTCGGATAGAGCGAGCTTTCTAAGCTGGTAGACTCAACGATTGGATCTATAGTCGCTCCACTCGATCTGTGTAAGATCGAGTGATTAAACTCCAGATTCAATCGAACTTTTGGCATCACTGTCATTGAGTAATGACAGCGCTTGAGAGACATCACTGAGACAGGTTTGGGGAGAAGATTTGAGCCATGGTTGACTACACTGAGAGTGATAAAATAGACGAGCCAACTTGCAAGATGGAGATCTTCAAATCTCCTCCATCGACGCTTCACCACGTGTAGGATAAATCTTCAACTTTAAGTTTGACGGTTGTAAAACATGAAAGAGCTGCCTGTCGGAGCCACAGGGAAAGTTGCAGGCTTGGAGTGAACTGCTCCCTGGTGCGACAGTGGTTCAAAAGAACACTGAGTGTACGACTCAGGGAAGACTGAAACGAAATCAGACTAGGAAACTTGTTGTCACGACGGATTCTGCAGTCGACGCATAGCCACGTGATTGAATCGTATTAACAAGCTCATCCAACCCGCAGAACGTCCCATTGCCATTCCACAGCAAACCATTGGCGTCCTTGGTGGCTATGGGTACGGTGATTGTGGTGTTGGACTTGGGAACGATTCCAAGGGAGTTCTAACACGCTTTCGCATGCGCCACAACTGTCACGAATCCTGCGAGGGGCTTGCACATGCAGTATGACGTCGATCTCCCGCTTTCAAGCAAAGCACCGTCTGGATCTATGCCATCGCATCGTGCCTTTCGCTTTACCACATACATCTATTATCTCCATCTTATAACAAAATAGCTTGTCTGTATTACTGCCTCGTTCCAATCATACACAGATCTCAGGAACAACCTACCTAAACAACATCAACCGCCAAAATGGTCAAAGTCCTCGAAAACCAAATTGTAGACCTAGACATCATGCCCGGCAAATCGCAACAAGAGCTCAAACAAAAGGCGCAGCAACTCCAACAGCAAGTGGGCGACCAAGTCGGCGATGCAGCATCGGCAGCGCAAGGCCAGCTCGGCGAAGCCACTGGCCAGTCCCAAGAACAGCTTAAGGATGCGCAGGCCCAGGCGCAGAAGTTCGTCGAAGAGAACCTCAGCGATGAGCAGAAGCAGCAGGTTGGCGGAATACTCAATAACATGAAGAATGCAGGCGTGGGGGCTGCGGGGACGGTGGGAGGGACGGTCAAGGGCGTGGGGGATACGCTGGGAAATACTGTAGGTGTTCTCTCTGTCTCCGGGGTGGTGGAGGGGCAGCTGCTCGAGAGTTGAGACTTTTGCGAGCAATTGGGATGCACGGAGCTGATGTTGAGCGCACCAGGTCTACACACTCGGCGCCGGCTTGGGCAATACAGGCATGGGCCTTGTGAGCGGTCTGGGAGACACCGGAAAGAGCGCCGTCGGCATGGGAGGACAACAGCAGAAGCCAGCGGCGGATAAACCCAAGACGGCGGACAAGCCCAAGTCCGATAAGCCTGCGGCGGAGAAGAGCAGTGACTCCAAGAAGTCGGACAAGAGCAATGAGTCCAAGAAGTATCCTTCGGCGGAGAGCGACGAGTCCAAGAGCAAGAAGTACCCCTCGGCGGAGAAGAAGGATACCAAGGATAGCTCGTCCACAAAGTCATAGGCGAGGCCCGGTATGGGTAGGGAACTGGGAGCATATGAGGGAACTTAGGCAACAATTGATACCTGCGTTCTGAATTAGCCCGCTCAGCACATGTTCAGCGTTGATTTGAGATCCATCTCAAAACATATCTTCTACCGAAACGATCTCCAAGACCCGACGGGCTGTAACATGAGTGCCTGATCTGCGATTGACACCGCCGGGTTGCCCCGTTGTGCATGGTCGTCCTGTCCGTCGCCGCAAACGAGCTGGCTGTGACGTAAAGGTTTAATCATTCACATGTTGGCGGGGTACCGTTGTAACACGGGGTCACCTCCGAACATAAAGTTGAAACTGTTGCTCGTACACACGAACCTGAACCTCGCCAGAATTGAGCCTGCTGAATGGTTGTAAACAGATTAACGGCGGGGAATATCTGAGTCAGCGCGGGAAGCAGCGTGGCCGTCCAGCGTGGCCAGCCCCGATCGCCGCGGGCTTTTGTCCCACCTCCGGCGCATTTTGAACTCGTTCGCGGGGCACACCGTCGCTGCTTTCGACGTTGTCATGACGTACAACAGCTGAGTTACCGAATCATACCATGGCACTGATGCGGAAAATACATCATGGGAGCTATCAGTCGTCCGTCACGATTACCGTCGGCGCATTCATCTTTTCCAGGGCAGCCTGTGAAAGCATATCAACTGCGCTGCTCCTCCCGACCTGAACTCCGAACTCAATTCTTGTGATACCCCGTTGCACGCACGAGTTCAGATTCAGCAGACACTTTGGAATACAACACTCAGGTACCAACCCCCTACACCAACCGCAAAGATGATGTCCCAGGCAGCCATGCTGGTCGAAAAGGCTATCGGCCACGACAAGAACGCCATCACGGCCCAGGACATCTCGAACCCAGCCATCAACCGGGAGAAGTACGGCGACCCCAACGTGAAGATGCAGGCGCTCTGCTGGATGGGCAAGAACACAGTCCAAGTCCGTACGTGAAGTCTTCCCAGCTCCATACCTAGCTCTTCTTACAGCGCTGCTCAATCGCTAACTCGATGCCTCCAAGTCACGGTCCCGAAGCCCAAAGTCGTCGAAGACAACGATGTCATCCTTAAAGTGACCGGATCGACCGTGTGCGGCAGCGACCTGCATCTGCTGCACGGATCCATTGTCGAGATGCAGAAGGGCGACATCCTCGGCCACGAGTTCTGCGGCATCGTCGATGACATGGGCCCGAAAGTGACCAACCTCCAGAAGGGCGACCGCGTGGTGGCGTCCTTCCAGATCGCCTGCGGAGACTGCTTCTACTGCAAGCAGAAGCTGTCGTCCATGTGCGAGAAGACCAACTCGAACACCATCGAGAACGGCATGTATGGCGGCAGGACTGCGGGCATGTTCGGCTACAGCCATTTCACAGGCGGTTTCGCAGGTGGCCAGGCCGAGTACGTGCGGGTGCCGTTTGGAAATGTGAATCTGTTGAAGCTGCCGGATGATGTGCCCGATGAGAAGGGGCTCTATCTCTCGGACGTCGTCGCGACATCTTGGAATGCCGTTGTTGACACCGTGGTCTACGAGGGTGATGTTGTCGCTATATGGGGCGCTGGGCCTGTCGGTCAGATGGCTGCCGAGTTCGCCTTTTTGAGGGGTGCCAGCCGTGTCATCGTGATTGACCAAAACTGGCGCTTGGACTTCATCAAAGAGAAAAATCCGAAAATCGAGACAATCAACTTCAAGGCGCTGCCGAGCGGGACCACCGTAACGTCGAAGCTGAAGGAGATGGTTAATAACCGCGGCCCGGATGTTGCGATCGAGTGCGTAGCTGGCGAGTACCCCAAGAGCTGGGCGCACACGGTCGAGCTTGCCATGGGCTTGGAGAACGATACGAGCGAGATCGTCAACGAGATGATCACATCAGTCAGAAACTTCGGCCGCTGCGGTATCACTGGTGTATACGCTGGATTCGTACGTGTCCAATCTGTTTTCCTTTCAGTTTTTCTTATAGGCCATCGTGTTAACTCGCTACCAGACGAACCACTTCAACATTGGCGCTCTGATGGAGCGCGGCATCCGGCTCATCGGCAATGGTCAAGCGCCAGTCCAAAGATACTGGGAGGACCTCCTCAAGAAGATCCAGTCGGGTGAGATTGACCCGCTCGTGATGCTCAGCCATCGCGTCAGCATGGATGACATGGACAAAGTGTACTACAAGTTTGAAAAGAAGGAAGATCGCATGCAGAAGGTGTTCGTGGAGACGAAATTCTCTGCGCCGCCGGCGCCAGGCACCCCGCAGCTAACGAGATACTGAGCGCTTGCGCTGCATGCAATTGACGGGTTATGAAGATATGCCGGGGGTCCGGATATGGACTGTAGTGTCATATTGGCCCGGAGTGGGCTGTAGATAGCGGAGATGTGGCCCTGAGAACCTTTGATGTAGAGTATCCGACATGATGAACGAAGTTGAAGATTCTCTTTCAAAAACCTGTGAGTACAAGAGACAGTTTGCTGTGGTACCAACGCCGCCTTGCAGAGTTGTGTCGCGCCAAGCTCGTCCTCAGGCAGTCACGTTACACAATCCCCTCCAAGTGGTTAAGCGCGTTTGTACCATAGTATCAGGTGCTTGTTCCCTGAAGCTATTCCATGGCTTCTTCGAGCTGTCATCATGCTACAGCTTGATAGAGATACTGCGACTATCTAATATCAAAGCTACTCCAGCCAATACGCTTACATATGCAAGCAATACAGCCATAGCCTGCAAATGCCCCATGTTCAATGTCGGCAAACTCAGATTGACCAGTCCTGTCAACAGGTTTGCAAGCAGGAAGATAGCAAGTCCGTTCCTGTTGAAAGCATGCAAGACTCTACTTGTGGCTTCCCTGCACCTCTGCCTCTCCGTCTCATCGTCAGGTGCTCCTCGTAGACTGGGGAAGCACAACCTCTCGATGGCGCAAAAGAGAGCAAGCTGGCCGCAGTTGAAAGCGGCTACCCAGAGGAAGTAGGGCAGATTGGCAAGACGTCGCGAGACTGACAACACCAGTCCGTAGTAGCTTGTCGAGAATGCGAAGAGTAAGGTCCAGACGACCGACCATAGCGCCAACTTGCCCAAGACAGATTTCCGGAGTTGTGCGCTGAACGCTGCGTCCGTCGGTGGCGTTTGTTCTCTCGGCAGCACATACATTCCCGTTGCTTGGCCAGCTAGGAAGATGGCGAGATAGCCGAAGAATGAGAATACTCCTTCCCGATTCTTCGATAGCAGGTCGGTCCTCGGGGCGGTGAGTATGAAGGCTTTGAGATCTGTGAAGTCCAGAATAGCTTCGTAGATGACCCCCAACAGCAGCGCTAGCGCAGCATAAGATGGGATGATGCTGAACAGTGACTGGAAGAGAGCGACAAATGGAGGCAATAAGCCCAAGGTAAAGAAGAAGTTCCAGTGAACCCCATACTCTGTGACATGCTCGGCATAGTCGAGTTCCTTGACACTGTACAGCCGAACAAAGCCTAGTATAAGCAACGGCAGAGAGTGCCGGGCAGCCGTGACAAGACGCTTATTCAAGGAGGGCATCTTGCCAGTTCGCCCCGTCAATGCTGATCTTGCTGCCACAAGGCCTGCTGAGAAGACGAAAGAACCGACCCCGAGATCCATTAGTGATGTTCCCCAGTTCTCCACCTTGCCAAATCGCCTCGGGAAGACTTTGAAGTCCACGGCCAGAATAGCAACGCAGGTGACCACCATCATGGTGCCTCTGTAGGCAGTGACGAACGGCTTGATAGGAAAGGGGTCTGACAAGCCAGCAGGAGAAGTCTGCTGCCCCTTGGGCGCACCAGCCACCTTGACCCTAGCATGTCTCGGCGCAGCTGCTGGAGTGAAATACGCCAAGGTCGCCGGCGCGAGAAGCAGCAAATTCAAGGCTACAGGGAACGAGGAGTAGAGTGTGGTCGCGAAGAGGATGGCCGCACAGTTGAGAAGGAAGTCGGTCAAGCATGCAGCAGGCGTGTAAGGAATGAAGAAACGCTGTCGAGACTGCAGGACGGACCAGAGTAAGACTGCAGTCTGCATTTCGACTTCTTAGCAATTGATCTACTTGGAGACTGGCACTGCTTACCGGTGCTACAAGAGTAACAGTGTTGATCTCCCACACACTACCGCCTGTCAAGTTAGAGACGAACGCTTCTTTCTGCGCCTTGTAACCATTTGCTGCTACTACCATCGTCGTAGCCTACTTCAGAAACTCCCCGGACAACAAATAGAGTGACACAGCGCTAGATCGAGCGCGCTGGATACGGCCGACGTGGTGAATGTTCATCGCATGCGCGATGTGACGGCCGTACTAGGTACCTAGGCAGTCGAAACTACCCTCACGTGACGGCAAGGTGCTCCATCAATCATGCAAAGATCTTGTGGCAGAATGCAAAGAATTGTCCAGCTTGAACCTACGAGGTTAGAGATATGATATCGGTGTTCACTCAGGCACCAGTCGCGACGACTCGGTAAACGAAAGCGTTACTCTGAAGCTCACGTGACTCCAACCCCTAAGGTATTGAAAAAGACGGGGCACCCCCCCTGGTTCAGCTTACTGCCCAGTTTCTATCAACCAACCGCTCGGCCTCAAATTCTCACCTTATTTGTCCATCACCTGCTACACGCACCTGGCTTGCACGAGTACCAAGAGAACGTACAATTCACAGATGCTAAGCTAACGACCGATGGCCGAAACTTCAATGAAGCGCTATTCCCGACCCACGTTCAACCACTCAAGAGTACCAGACTGCCTCAATGGGCATCGTTTGACCGAGATCTCCGGGGCTAGTAACGCTCGTAATCTTTTAATTACTGCGTGTGATGTTCACACCACTCGACAAGCCAATCGTCCGAAGTCATGAGAGCTAAACTCCTGGGGTCTACCCAGATATCCATGGCAGAACGAATAAGGTTTCCTCGTGTTGTCTCTGTTCTCTTGGCCCGCGTGTTTTAGGTTCTCTTTCTAAAGCTGAAGCCGGTTTTAAGCCTGCAAGTGCCCCGAGCTTCTGAGTATGGCTTCCCCAAGAGCCTCTTAATTTTAGAGATGAATATATTCAAACGATTC